ATTATTTGGGCATTATCTAGCCAAATCTGGTTTCAATTAGATGCCACTAACAGAAGTAATACTGTATCTAATCAGTACAAATCTATTCCATTGATTTAAATAAGATTTGTCAAAAATTCCTTTTGTTGCAGTATCTGTTTCTACAAAGAAGAAAACCTGCAACCCTGCCAGATATAGCTGAACTACATCTTACTAGCTGAGGCCCCTTTGAGTTATAATTCAGCAATATCTGGAGAGTCATAGATACCACCCCATCTTACAGAAATTATACTGTAGAAACATGAAAATTAATTAACTATATACTGTAAACATGATTAATTAGGAATCTTTCACTGATGAATATGTGGGACTTGAAGATCATTAGTTGCTTAGAATACTTCAGTACATTATAAACAAATTTGCCCCTTTTGCTCTTATATCCACAATTCTGAAATGTAGCATTCTCACAGTGTTATATCATATCATATTTCATTTGCAAACCAGCCTGCAATGCCTTTGAGATTTGATATGCCTTTTCACATGAAACATGACAACAATGAGTGTGAAACAGCTTTCACCAGATGAATAAACAAATCCCATGGAGAAAGATATGTTGCATGCTTACAGTTATTTCCTGCTGCTTTTCATTCTTTGCGAAGTACTCATACTACAAATGCATCAAGGTTTACAAATCAAATCCAGAATGATGCCACCAGTGACCTACTTATTGTAAAAGTCAATGTAATATATGTCCACAGGGTTTATATAGAAGGTAAAAGGAGGTATCCAGGAAGAATCAAGACTGGTACCATATTATGGAATAGAACCACAGAATCAGAAGAGACCTTTTAAACTCCAGTGCAGGAACTCAGATTAGTTTGTCCCTGACAGAAGGCTGTCTAGCTTCTGTTTAAACAGTGGTGGAGTCCTCCACCTTTTTGAGCAATTAGTTACACTATCAAATTTACTATTATATTCTTTTCCAACATTAATTTGGCATATACCTTCTTGTAACTTAAATATTTTATTTCATGCCCAATCTGCTAAGCTAATAGAGGACATGGCCTTCTTTAAAGTGACCTTCTTTCAATTATTTGAAGAGTGCTATCATATGCCGCTTCTTTTTTTTAATAACTTTATTAATTTTCTTTTAAAAAGAACAGTAAAAACTAGCAAAAACTAATACTAAGAAAGAGAAAAAGAAAAAGAAAAAAATGGAAAAAGAGAAAATAGTAAAGATTAAAAATGCAGAAAAGGGGGGAAAGAGAGAAAAACAACAGAAGAAAAAGAAAAATTGACTTCCAACCCACCCTGCCCCCCACAACAGATATAAGTAACAGTATACATCAACTCTTGCTCTAAATTTTCAACATAACTTCCATTATTTCTATTAACCCATATTATTTCTAATTATCAAACCCATACAACTTAATTTCATTTTTTTTCTGTTGCAATCTGAATGGCACAACCATTTTTTTTGAACCGCAAATAGTCCAAAAAGGGTTTCCAGTTAGCACAATTATACAATGTCTCATCTCGAGTCAAAGCCATCAATTTCACCACCTCAGCTAACTCCATCAACTTCACCAGCCATTCTTCTGCTGTAGGTAATGTCTTATCTTTCCACCGCTGTGCATTTAAAAGTCTTGCTGCTGTAATCATATGTATAAAAAAATTATAATGTCATGTCTTCCACCTTTGTACATATAAAAACCTTACTACTATTATCATATATAACAAAACTTCCATACATTTAATATAAATATATTTTAACCTTAGTGAACTTTATACACAGATCCTTAAAGCATCATCATTCAATCTTGATCACAAAAAAAAAAATCCCATTAATAACTCCCACAAAATTCAGCATATATGTTAACCATAGTCATATAAATACACTTTGTAAACCTCTGTTTACTTTTAAAAAGCTTAAACTTTAATCCTTTCAAATAATGACCCACAAATTGATTCCCCATCAGGCTCTCCTTGTCTTCTCCCAGAAACATCCCCAGTAATTTCTCTTTGTCTCTTCCCAGCTTCACCAATTCAACACATTCCTTTTGCAAATCCAAGATAAAAAATCTTTCCAAGTCACTCTTCTCCATTATTTGTATGTCCCCTTTAAACATTGTGACATCAATTGATTCCATTTCTAAATCAATTCTGGTATCTTTTTCCATATCACTCTTATCCTTTGGCTGTTTCAAATCCATGTTCGAATCCACAACTTCTTTGTTCATACCACCTTCATTATCTAACATATTTTTGAACTCCAATTCCACATTCGAGTCAATCTCCACCTCTTTTTCAAAGTTAACCATCTTATCCACTCTTTCCTTTATCTTTTTTTCAAGCAACTTGAATTTAGCTCCTAATTCATCAAACATTGACTGGAGTAAACTTAAAGGAGTTATTTTATCTTCTAATGGCTGCTCCTAGACATCTTCTAGCCATTTTTCCCCCCAAAACAAACCTTGTAGCCATATTCTTTTTATATATATTTTTTTCCATTTACACAAGTAAAATGTATAGCTGGATATATTTAAGTATAAGTGAAAGTAAACCAACAGTACACACCCTCTAGTGTCTTTCAAGCTGAAATTGCAGGCAGACGTCAATGGGAAACATACAGGGATCAAGTTACAATCTTTTGTTTTAGAAACCCAGCCAATCAACAGATATCATCCAGCAAAAGAAGAAACTTTCCCAAGGGAAGAGCAAACTTTGTTACTGCAAATGGAGTTTCGTAAAAAAAATAAACTTCTAACAAATAAATCTTCCCTTTTCATTATAAGTAACTTTTAAGTCTCTTTTAAATTCACTTGTCATCCAGTTTTTTGCGAGTTATCAGATTCAGATTAATACTCTGTCTTCTTTTGAAAGTATAGTCCCAAAAATAAAGATAAGCTGCAAGAGAATTACTTGTTGCAAAGTCTCTCTTAAGTTGCAAAATAGTTATATTCCACAGTGTTTAAAAATGAGGTTCAGCTGGCTCTAGTGTCTATAAAAAGGCTGCACCAGGCCTGAGAGGCTGTATCCTGGGCACAGAGAGAACTGCTCCTGTCTGTGCTCCTGCCCTCTGAAGATGCCGGTCACAGGTGCTGGCAAAACGTTAGGAAACAAAACTTCCAGAACATGGCCACACAGCCCGGAAGACCCACACCAGCCATCATTCCTCTAGGGTTGGTACATTTTCCTCTTTCCATTTGGCTGCATAGACAACTCTAGCCACGGCGATCAGGTGTAGTAG